CAATTTGTTTTAAAGTTTGAATTTGAGTTTAACATAAATCTTAGGCGGTATATGTTTAGAAATATCATTGATATAAACTATGTTATTAGTTATCATCTAATAGTTAATTGATTAAGTAAACTTTTAAGTATTTTAACTATGGATATACATTAGTGGTTAATTTTTCTATTCTAAATTTCTTTCAATTTGCCTACCACTAAGTAATTTAGTGGTTATCTTTTTCTACTGAAAATAAGAAATCCTGAATTTAACTCATATAATATGCAGATGTTGTGTGATAAAGAATTAGAGATAGTTACCTCCCATTGTGCAACTAAGATAAAAAAAAAAAAAATCTCTCAATTTGTTTTAAAGTCTGAATTTGAGTTTAACCTAAATCTTAGGCTATATATCTTTAATTTGTCTATAGCTATTAGTTGATAACTAATAACATAGTTTATATCAATGATATTTCTAAGGATAATAATGATAGAGGGAACGATTTTATGAGACGAAAACGGAGGACAATAAGTGGGGTAAGATCAAATTGGTTATTTTGTATCCTGCACTTTGAATTTACCCCACTTATCATCTTCCATTTTCGTCTCATGAAATCGTCCCCTCTATCATTACCCTATTTCTAAACACCCAGACGACCTATTTAAAAAAATTAGTACAATAATTAATAAATTTTTTGATTTAACATATTTCACAATACATTTAAATTTGAATTTAGAGGAAAAAAATTTCAACTTTAAAATTTATTAACTGAATTGATGAATATTAATAAATATGTTAAATTAAAAAGTGTTTCAATTGTTTTTCAAAAAATTATAAATTTAATAAAACGAACCAAACTTGTCAGGGTAACACATACACCCTCAACCTCAAGCTTTAACCAGTTGACGATACCATGCAACACTATCATTATGACTCTTAAAAGGTTGAGTGCACGAATAGTATATCTTTTATGAGGTGAGAAATGTGTACCAACAACTAAGTATTTACAAAATAGATGTTTCAGTTCTCAATGCTGGTACAGATTTCCGGTATAGGTAATTATGGTCATGTGCAAAATGGGGCCATAGCTACGTACAAAACCTGCTCTATTATCCCATTCACGTAAAGATGCCACAAGAATTGTAAGGCAAAGTAAGCACAGGGGTTTTAATCTTTGCAGTTTTTGTGAATCAAGTGGAACTTGGTGCAAGTGATTGAGTCAGAGTACATTTTATATGCTTCATGACAAAACCCATGTGCCTTTCTGTATGCGTACAACTCTGAGCAATTCAATTATTGATCTTTGTTATGACAAATGAAGCAGGCTTTGATTCCCACTTTGGAGAATTGTAAGGACAGAACATGCATCCACCATTTTCCTAGTTGTATGAAACATAGATTCTGACATTATTCTTTTTGGGGTTGAGATGAGAATATTGTCCTTTAATTTTTATTTAGGAACTATTATTACAAGTTTTGTGATGATAAATGGGCAACAATGATCCTGAATCTTGATATGAAGAATCTGTTTTGTTTCCTAGGAAATCTTTCTCATTGTAATCAATGTTAATTCTAAATGTTTTTTGAGCTCGTGCGGAGGAACGTGGGTTTAAGAACGCAATGACGTTATGTGTTCCAGAATGAAAAAGGTTGGGAGTTGAACTGGTATTGTCTGGACTTGTGATGAGGGTGAGCGTGCCGGGGTTGACCCTCCATGATTGGAGGGTCAACTCTGGTTTTGCAGACATGATTGGCTGTATGTCTTGCTCAATTATTGGTGAGATTATGAGATAAGCAACCACCATTGCATCAATTGTGTGATTAGGCCTATAGCCCCTGATCATTATATTTTTTACCTTTAAAAAATTTGCATTTGAGTCTGTACTCTGTGGAGGTGTCAAAAAGGACAAAAATGTACAGTACTAGTAACATACTAGTTGGATAAATTTCCAAAAACTTAAATTAAGTCTTTGTTGATACTTACTATCCTTAAAAATTCTAAAGATTGTAAGAGCTAAATATGCAGTTGTGATCCTCTATCCAAATCCTGAACTTGACTGTGCGGATATATGTTGAGATTTTAAAGTTCAAAACTTTTAACTTATAAATCTTAACTAAAACCATTGAAATGTTATTTATGATTGGTGGATTACAACGGACCTTTTTTGTAATATAGGACAAAAGTACATGTTTTAAGTCAATATTTGTGTGTTTAATGGTTAAATATATATATATATATATATGTTTGCATTGTTAATCCAATTATTAGATGAAGATAATACATGTGGTAATACTTGTCCTGCAACCAAGTCAGCACAATGGAAAGAAGGTGGAAGAATCAAGAGGCTGTTTGGTGAGGGAGCAAACAATCAGGAAAATGTTCCCTTTGTCTAACACATGATTAACAACGTAATTATTAACTAAAAGGATATTGCAATTAGGATTCAAATTAAATAGTTTATTCATCCATATATTGAACTGATCTCATGCATTTCAATTGTGAAGTGTAGAAGTTATCCAAATTAATTAATCTGCAATACTAATCTATTTAATTGGGATAAATTATAATTAATAGTTAATTGGATGCTCTCAAAGCAGTCTCTCAACTAACAAGAATTTCAAATTTGAATATCTTAACACAAGTGTTGAGCAATTTGGAAAAGGGAATAGATGTCTTACTGTATGATCCATCACTCAATGTAAAAGAAAAAAATAGTTAATTGGGAGGAAACACAACAGCAGAAGAGAATACAATGAGAGTGATGTGATGATATGAAGGAAAAATGGAGTTTCTGGCTTCTGTGACCGTTGA